ACCACACGCATGTTAACAGAGATCTCAGGAGGTCTGGCTCTATCCCACCCTGACACCACACGCATGTTAACAGAGATCTCAGGAGGTCTGGCTCTCTGACCTTTAGCCTGTTCTAAATCTCCTATTTTCTCAGTCACCTCATTGACAAACAAGCATCAAAGACCTCCTCTCCCAATTCTCAGGGGTTTTATTTGTGAGGCTGAGGTAGATATGAACTAAGTTTGAAAAAGCATGGAACATTTTAAAAGAAAAAGTGGCTTCCTTCCTATTCAACAGGAGAAAGAAGCTCTAAAGGGGGAGTAGCCCAGGGAGCATGAGGAGAAGTCTGCCCTGAAATTCAGAATGTTATTTTAAACATTCTGAATGGCATCTGCCATTGCCCAGCAGCTTGTATCATGGCACACATCTTAAATGAAACTCAATCATCAGCAGGGCTGAACAGACGTTTTAGTTAACCAGTCACTTTGGTCAGGAGAATGTTGGATAACAAAGAAATCACAGCATACAAACATCCTTAGACATCCTTATCTTACAAAGCAAACTGAGCCCATCTAGGGAGAAGCTTATTCACAAGGCCACTGGCAAAGACACCTGGTTGTGACCTGGGCTCCCTTTCTCTGATGCCCAGCCTCACATGACACATGCTGGGCTAACACCTGCCCCAGCAGTGCCTGCGTGACCTTACCCACCATGAATGGAAAAAGGAGTTCCACTCCCAAGTCATTAAATCATAACTTAAAAGATCACATTAGTATAATCATTTGTTTTCTGCCTTCAAACCACAAGGACAACCAGAAAAATCACACCAAACCACAAAGGTCCTAACATACTGTCGAACATACAGAAATACAGTACGCATCTACACAAATACACACTCCCACCAGGGTAAAGTGTGTCCCACAGCACTGTCAGTGTGGAGAATTACTTCTTCATAAGAAAGTAGGGAAAGCAGAATAAAACTTATTTTAGAATTTTTTTTTTAAAGGTACAGAACACTTGCTATTCACAAAATCTAACGACTGCCAACAGAGTATTAAAGATGAACTACTACCATCATCTCTTCCTCTCACAATCAAATTGTGGTAAGAATCTCTAGGTGATTTAATTCTTAAAAGCTTCTATTTTCTCCTCCTTGCAGCCTCCAGGTGAAAACATAAGTGGAATGTTAAAACACACACACTGCACAGTTAACCGGCTGGTGACATCAATAAGGTAACACAGACAGCATCCCTGAGAGGGCTAGAGGAAGCCTGATGGGCACGCAGACCCCAGCCTCAGAGACCCCAGGGCACACGACTGGTATCAAGGATGGTGGCTAAACAGTCATATCTGGAAGCTCACACCGTGGTTTTTAAGCATTTTAGATATGGATTTCGGGTATTAAGAAAACTGGTTCCCATTCATATCATTTTCACTTTATTCAAAGCTTGTAACAAAGAGATAAACTCAAAGATAAGAAAGGCAAAGCAGGTGGGTACAGTCAATTTCCATTTATACAAGTGACTCAGGGAACAAACGCTCTAAATAAAACCACACCTGGCATTAATAAATGCTACAAATGTTACTAAAACCTGATCTTTTATTGGTGAACAACACGACAACATCAGTTTTTAAAATGCTATCTATGTGTACATAGAATTTTATACAAATATAGATTACAATCATCCCTCAGTCACTATTTCAAGCATTTCTCATAAGAAATTTCTTAAAGTTGGCTTATAATTTCGTTTTTTTAAGTCAGATATTTGGGGTTCACAGCATTTAAGACATATTCAGAAATCTTCCATATTAATTGGAGAACACTTAACTGGGTTCAAGAGGATTCTAAAGAATAACGATTTATAGGTTTTTTCAAGATAAGAATTTAGTTTACTGGTGTTCTTCCAATGGTATTTCAACATTTCCAAATACTTGAAGTCCTGCGTATGTAGGGGGGTGGGTGTGTGTACAACACATGTCCACATGTACTTTTCCCCTCAAACCCCCAGCTCTGCAAAAGTAACCTTTTTCACAAACTGGGGTGGCTGGAACATTCCTTGTGCACTCACCTGCTCTCTCTCAACTCTCCTCTTTTCCTCCTCTGCCCGTCTCCTCTCTTCTTCCTCTTTGCGCCTTCTCTCCAATTCCTCCAGACGCCTCTTTTCTTCTTGTTCTCGCCTTCGCTGTTCACGTTCTTGCTGCCTTCTAGCTTCACGCTCTCTCCTTTGTTGCTACGTATGTAAAGAACATATAATTACCAGTGGTTGTCCAGCTATGGCTCTCCTGCCAGTGTGCTGACCAGCTACACGCAGATGCTCACAAGGAGAAGTTCGTGGACCCCCACCCCCCTTACTGGCCAGTTGTTTCCACTGCCCTTTGGCCCCATACAGAACAGCTTCCTGTTCTGGTCAAAGGTGCTACGAGTTTCTGTGAATCCTTAGGGTTTAGTTTCATTTTGATAACAATTACTTCCCACTGCTCGCTGTACCACAGCAATTAGGGCAGAAAATTCTTTATTCTTGAGTGTCATTACAGAGCTATCCAGGGCCCTTAAGTCAGAAGAAAAGGATAAAGAAAGGAGTACAGAATACGACAAAGAAAGGGAAATAAAAAAGAAGAATTAAAGCACAAGCATCAGGAAAAGAGGAACTGACATCAACAAGAATAACAAGGACCATTATTCTTACTATAAATATTTTAAAAACTGCTGCTACTATAAATGTAAAAAACTACTATGTGCCTGAAACTGTGCTAAGTATTTGATATTTTTTAGTCCATTTGCTTTACCTGATCTAAATCTCATAAGAACCCTACGAAGTCAATATTTCATCCCTACCATACAGATGAGAAAACAGGTTCAGAAAAATTAAGAGATTAGCCCCATGTCACCTGGCCAGCAAGACCCCACCTGAAGAGCTGTTCTACCTCTAAAGCCTATTCTCTTAACCACACGCCACCCTGCACCTGATCAACAGGTATAGAGGCTGCTACTGAATCACCAGACTGACTGTTACTCTTTCCAAATCCAGACAGTTCTATCCAACCTGACAGTACAGAGCAATGTAACACAATAGACACTCAATTGTCTCATACAGCCCAAGGTTATCTGCTAGTAATGAAACATAAAACTGAACAATTTTTCCTATGAGTATGAAAAAATGCTAGAATGTAGACTACTGATGTCCAACAGAACTTTCTGGGATGATGAAAATGTTGTCTCTGCACTGTTGAACACTGCAATCATTAGTCACATGTAGCTATTGAGTATCTGAAATGCAGCTAGTGTGAATGAGAAACTGAGATTTTAACTTTATTTCACTGAAGTTAATTTATATTTAAATAGCCATGTAGCTGGTGTCTGCTGTCCTGGATAGCACCAGCTCCAGAGGATGCACAGCTGTTGAATTCCTCTAACACAGAAAGCCAGTATTACCACAACCTTTGTAACACCCAAATTAACCACTAAACAAAGAAGAAAGTTAGGAGTAAAGCTGTTGGGAATATTAAACAAAAATATTTATAATGGGTATACAAAGTAGATATTTATTATATACGGGATATTTCACAAATTGCCCCTAAAGATGCCATGTGTAGGGAAAATGGGAAATTGTAGTTGAAAGTACTATTTACAAAACATTTATTACAAAATATTCTCTACATGTTGGCCACATCCTTGGAAAAATTTGTAATGGATATTTTGTAAATAAAGATATATTTATCTACAATTTCCCATTTTCTCTATGTATGGGGATCTTAGGTGCAACTTTTAGAACACCCTGTACTTCAAGTATTTATTCCTTCTGGTCTTTCCCCAACTCTCAAACATGCAATCTGAAAACAGACACATAAAAATCACTCCCCGAGAAATGTAAAGAAGTGTCTTACAGGTGGAATGACTAGAGGAAAATGATGATCTGGTGCTGTGGCCTCTCTCAAGTAAGCACCATGTCACCGTTATTCTCAATGAAGTTTTTTTTTTTTTTTTTTGAGACAGTGTCTCACTATGTCACCCTCCATA